AGAAGGAGAAAAACGTAAATTGGCCTAATTTTGTATTAAAACTTTCCGTTTGCACTCCACACGGATCGTTTCCCCTTTGGATTAGCCCGTCATATCTGATAGTAAGGAAAACGGTAAGTTGATAAAAAACAAACGTCACTCTATCAATAAATCAAGCTCAAATTTTAAGACCCAGCTCTGGATTGAAGTCCACGAAGTTTCCCCACGAAGTTGATAAAAATATCCAATATCCACACAAAAACCTTGAAAATATGCATATGAGAGGAAATAATCTAATGAATGTTAATTAAATGGCATAAACAAACGTGGACATATTCCAAGGCAGTTCTTAGAAACTTTGTTTCTTTTTATCCTAAAATTTTCTTTGCCCACCTGACGCATTTGGCGACGAAATTTGTTGAAGGTCTTATATAAAGGTTTAAATACTTTAATTGCCACTTAAGCGCTACTGCTTACAGCAGTATTGCTTGTTGCTTTCGCCATATCTCACTCCACTTTCCTGCCCGCCCCGACCACTTTAAGTTTTCAACTAATAACAATACAGGTGCGAACATATATACACGTGTACTTGTATATATACATACGGATGAGACTAATTATATGCGGAACAAAGGTCGTATTACTGGGATATTTGTAAGATGTAAATTTTAGTTTGTTGATGACTTTTCAACTCTCGATTTAGAGTGATAGTGTAAATTTTAGATGTGTGCGTGTGTGTGTGTTCTGTGTATACGAATTTCTAATAAAAAAATTTCCATTTAAAATTTTGTCTTAAATTTTAATAATACCTATATTTGTATATATTATTCGTTCATTCAGCTCATTCGTTTAGAGGCCAAGACAATTGTGATGGAGTCCTCTGCAAATCTGCTGGAGCGCGTTAGCACTGGCAGCGATAAGGAGACGGCCAGCAACAGCATCAATCCCAGCGGCAACGATCAGGATTCGGGTGTGCCTTCGTCGGCAGAGATGGCGAATACACCTGTGGCGCAGAGCGCCGCTGGCGATGATGTGGATGAGGATATTTTCGAACAGGTGACAATGATACTACGCAAACGACGGGGCTGGGGACCACAGGACTCTCTCAGCCCCAGTGGCCTTGATCTAGATTTGCTCGAGGATGACGATGAGCTCGTTGAAGAAGATGATGCCGGTTGCCCGCTGCCCTCGACGCCAGAGGACACTCAGCTGATAGAGGCCGAGGTAAGTTGAATGTCACAGCCACAATCAGCTGTGTGCAAGACTAAATTGCCCCAGCACGCGCTCTGTTATCTCCGTCTGACCCAGTGGCCACTGTTGCCTATGCAAAATATATAATATATATCAATATTCATGTATACATTTGAACATTCGTATTGCAATCGATTGCTCGCACTTTGAGTGCCGCGACCGAGCTTATCATATCGTTGAACTCGCCAGGCAGCCACCTGTGTGTTCTCCTCAACGAAACACCCACCCACACCTGTATACACAGTTAACAAATATATATACATATGTATATATATGTATTTATAACTTATTACTGTCTGCACGCCTTGTCGGTTCAGGTGCGCATTGCGCTACGAGCGCTGGATTTGGGCGCTAGTTGCCGACAAGGCACAAAAAAAAAGCTAAAAGCAAATACGTAAAATTGCTATACAAAAACAAAGTGACGCAGATAAGAATTTTGCGTTCAACTATCAATTTTGCTCACTCTTATCTTATCGCGTGCCTCGTTCGCCTTTCTCTTGTTCCGTTTTAAGTTTGTACACAATATTAAAAAAACAGTAGGCGAGCGAGAAGCGCGTCAAAGTACAAACTTGCCTTTTTGTGCAAATTATATTCTATTTGTTATTTCGAATCAAATTTTATTGGTTGCCAAATGGCACAGTCGCGGGTTGAATTCGACGCTGTCATTAACGTGAGCGGAACTCAAGAATCTGAATCAATTGAGCAAGAACCCTATGAAGACTCAAATCAATTAAAATCAAGCGAAATCAATGTTAGTCGAATTGCTAAATGTATTTAATTTTAAGCCTTTTAATCAGTCTTCGATTGTGCTGCAACTTAATCACCTCCATTTATTTTTTAGATGACCGAAGTCTTAAAGGCAGGTGTACTATCGGATGAGATCGATCTGGGTGCGCTGGCACACAATGCCGCCGAGCAGGCCGAAGAGTTTGTGCGCAAGGTAAGCTGAAAGCTAAAGCAAATAAAAACTGGCTGTTTGTTTATCTTTTTTCATTTCATTTAAAATGTAAATTTTAATCATTTTGTATCTACACATGGAACTAAAGCATGCTCACCGTCTTTTTAAATAAATATACTTATATCTTAACAAATTGTTCTAATTTCTTTCAATCTCATTTGCCTAATAAGTATAAATCAATTATATAAATACAATTTATACAGATTTTCGTGATTCTCATAAACATTTTGCTTGTTCGCAGGTCTGGGAAGCCAGCTGGAAGGTTTGCCATTACAGGAACTTGCCCAAATGGCTGCAGGACAATGATTTCCTGCATCGCGGTCACCGTCCGCCGTTACCCTCGTTCCGCGCATGCTTCAAATCAATATTCCGTGTCCACACAGAGACTGGCAACATCTGGACACATCTGCTTGGTTGCATTGCTTTCATTGGCGTCGCACTCTACTTTGTGTCCCGTCCCACGGTTGAGATACAATTTCAAGAAAAATTGGTATTCGGCACATTCTTTATGGGCGCCATTATTTGCTTGGGATTCTCGTTCGCTTTTCATACATTAAGTTGCCATTCTGTAGAGATTGGAAGACTGTTTTCCAAGTAAGCCCCAGACACATTCGCTCTTATCTATTAATATTTATTAATTGAAATTTAATTTGTATTTTAAGACTGGACTATTGTGGAATTGCGTTACTCATAATGGGCTCCTTTGTACCGTGGCTTTACTATGGCTTTTATTGTCACTACCAGCCAAAGGTGATATACTTGTCTGTGGTTTGCGTGCTCGGCTGCTTGTCTATCATTGTCTCGCTGTGGGATAAGTTTTCGGAGCCCGCTTTGCGTCCGCTACGTGCTGGAGTATTCATGAGTTTTGGACTGTCTGGCGTCATTCCGGCCATTCACTATAGCATCATGGAGGGCTGGCTAAGTCAAATTAGCCGCGCTAGTCTTGGCTGGCTCATACTAATGGGTAAGTACTAGAAACGGTAATTTATTTATGAGTTTACTAAATTCTTTATTTGATTTCAGGCTTGCTTTATATACTGGGCGCA